GGCCAAAAAATTAAAAAAATTAAAAAAAAATCAACTATACACATTTACAAGAATTCATCTATAACAAATCTAACAAATCTACACATTTTCTTGACCTTCATCAACACATTTACAATAGATCATTATTTTACAACAAATCAACAAATCAGAGAGAGAGAGAGATTTTCAACAACAGATTTCATTTTCTTGATCTTCATCAACAAACAGATCAAAAAACCTAACACATTCATCAACAAATCTAACACAGATCAACATGTTCATTTTCATCTTCATCATTTTCAAATCTGAAGAACAAAATCAAAAACATAGAACAAAATCAAAAAACACACACACAGAGAGAGAGGATGAGATACCTTGAGAGAGAGAGACAAGGAGATACCGTGATAGGAAGAGAGGAGGAGCTGTGGTGAGGAACAAATGTGAGGGAGGAGCCGTCACCGACCAAACCAGGGAGGGAGAGAGAAAGAGAGAAGAGGGGATACCATGAGAGAGAGATGATAGCGTAAGAGAGAGAGAAGAAAAAACCGACAATGAAGGAGAGAGGAGGAGCTGTGGTGAGGAATGGCGGTGAGGGAGGAGCCGCTGCCGACCAAAATGGTGAAGGAGAGGCGGTGAGGAACGGAGGTTGTATGTGTGAGAGAGAGAGGGAGAAGATGTTTATGTGTGGGTGTTCTGTGTTTGCCAACAGATAGCCCAAACCCTACACACACTCACACATATATTATATATAAACAGGGGCAAAATAGTAATTTTACATCATGAGGCAACCAGGGCAGGGATCGAGGGCGGAGTCGGGCCGGGTCCGGGGCTGAAACATGTATCCCCGTCCCCGGCCCGAATATCATCAGGGATTCAATTTTTAATACCATCCCCGGCCCGTCGGGGATATTTTTCGGGGAATAACCGCTCAATTCGGGGTCAGGGGATCGGGTCCCTGTCGGGCCGGGTTCCAATTGCCATCCCTATCAGGTTGTCTATAACCCTATTGATACAAGTATCAATACTTAGTAAATATCCGATACAAATAAGATAATATTTTCAAGAGTACCCGTAATTCGTACCAATGAATAGATAAATTAGATAGATTTAAACACACATTATGATGGACATACCCATTTACCAAATCAAATAGAGAGGAAGGGAAAAGAGGGTCCTACTTGTAACTCCAGATTACTTACAATGTGTTTGGTCAAGGGATTTAGGACGCAATTTGAAAAGGAAAATAAAAAATGTATGTGAAATTAGGTGAAATATATATATATATATATATATATATTTTATTTACATTTCACTTACCTTTTCTCTTTTCTACATCAAATCCTTTCTCAAATTTCCTAACCAAATACAATGCTAAGGTTTATTCATTGCTTTATCTTTTTAATGAGCAATTTTGAGAAAGTGTTTCTAATCAAGAATGTGCAAGATATAAACAAATACTTTTGAGATGATAAAATGACCAAGGAACTAGTCCAAAGTTTTTTTGTTTTTTTTTTTTTTTTTTTTCTTTTTTTTTTTTTTTTTTTTTTTGATCAGCAAAAAAGAAACCTTTATTAATGACAAACCATTCAACAAATGAGATTACATCAATAAAAAGTGGAAAAGTAGATCGCATCATAGCTAACTACTCTAATCTCAACTAGGTTGCACCGAGAAGAGAGCCCTATCATCTGCAAGCTCAACCACAAAAGGTTTGGTGAGAGACCAAACACAGCAGACACCAACAAGCCCAAAAACCAAACAACCATAAAACACACAGCTTACAAATCAGACTCTGAGAAGAACACACACCAGATCTACAACAAAACATAGCAACAGGTAGATCTCAGCAGAAGGGAACCCAGCAAACAGACAAAAATACAGCCTAGCCCCATCAGTTCATAAAGCAGAACTTCACATGCTGCAGATTGTACACAATATTAGTGACTGGGTAACAAAAAGAAGGGCTAGAGGCTCTAAACCACAATGCAATCCTTATTTTAATAAGTTCACATAACCTTTCCAAATCCACCTGCGTGCCATTAAAAATACTTTCATTCCTCTGCCTCCATATGGACCAAAGCACCGCCAATGAAATAACATTCCAGATGACCTTCTCCTTTTTGTTGAATTTATAACCAGCCCACCACTGCAAAAGACCAATTACTGACCCTGGCAGTACCCAAGATACTCCCCACCAATTAATAACATTGGACAAAATCCTCCGACTAAAAGGACAACACAACAGCACATGATTAACAGTTTCCAATTCAGAAGATATAATTAACATTTGAAGCATCACTGAGGACTCCAATGCTTTGAAGATAACAGGATGTCTTGATTCTCCCTTTCCATCCTAACCACCCAAAAAATTGCATCTTCGGTGGAGCCACATTCTTCCAAATGAATTCCCCTAATTTTGTAGTAAGTTTAGAGGGTAATTCATTCCACTTGTAGGCAGAAACTACAGTAAACTCATCAGACTTATCTGTATTCCAATTCAATCTATCAAACACTCCTTCCCCGAGGGCAGGAGCATTTTGTAACATCACCTTCAACCTCCTCAACTCTTCAAGTTTCCACTGAAACAAGGTTCTTCTGAAGGCCAAATCCTACTCTTCATTCCCATTTCTCCTGCTATTAACCACTGTCACTGATTCACAATAATTAAGGGACACGGAGAATAATCTAGGGAATGCATCTTTTAAGCACCCATTACCAATCCAATTATCAAGCCAAAATTTTGTTTCTCTCACATCACCAATAATAAGCTTTGCGTTGACCTTAAAAAACTCTAGTAACTCAGGACTATTTCCAACAACTACCAATATATCTCTCCAAACCATAGACAACATTGTACTTGCAACATGTACTGGCCACCAACTCCCTCCAGTCTCTAGGTACTTGTTGCAAATCACTTGTTTCCAGAGAGTGCCATTTTTACTCCCAAATCTCCACCACTGTTTCAAAAGAAGACAATCATTCATGAGTTTCGTCTTTCTAATACCTAGACCCCCATTACATTTGCTTTGAGTGATTTCCCCCCATTTGACCAAATGAATTTTCCTTCTTAATTCATCACCCCCTCCTTCCCCACCCCCCCTCCAAAAAAAAAAAAAAGGAATCTAGACTGTATTTTGTCAATCTCCTTTACAATCCCTTCAGTCATTTTAAACAGGGATAAGTAGAAAACTGGTAGAGACAATAACACAAACTTGATCATTGTCAACCTACCAACAAAGGATAAAAATCTTCTTTTCCAAGAAGCCAACTTCGATTTGAATTTTTCAATAACAGGTTGCCAAGTCCACTACAAGAAAAAACAATTTCCGTGACCAACATTTTGGTCGCGAAAAGTAGCATATTTGGTCGCTAAAACCTTTTCGCAACCAAAATATGTTGGTCGCGAGTTGGTCGCTAAAGCCTCGTCACTACGACCAAAAAGGCCTTTGGTCGCTAAAAGTGACCATTCGCGACCAACTTTTTTGGTCGTGGAAAGTCCAATTCATATTAGCCAAAAGTAAACTTTTAGCGACCAAAGATAAGTTGGTCGCCAAAAGTCAGCGCCTTGACCCCAAAAAAAAAAATAATTCTTTTGTGGTGCCTGGGACTTGAACTCTCGACCGAGGAGCCACCATACACCCAATCCACTCTGCCAATAATATACTTCTTGTTCATATTCGGCAAACAATATATATAACCCATAAAAATTGGGTTATATATTATTTCATAAATCTTTTAATACCTAAACAGAAAAATAGCATGTAATTATAGTAGTATCATTTTTTTTTTAAATTTATCCCGCCATAACTTTCCGCGACTAACTTTTTTTTTTGGTTGCCAAAGGGTAATATTTCGCGACCAAAAAAAACTTTGGTCGCCAATAGTATACTTTCCTCGACCAACTTTTTTTTTTGGTCACCAAAAGGTGATCTTCCACGACCAAATTTGTAGTTGGTCACCAATAGTTAAGTCATTCGCTTTTTTTTGGTCGCCAAAGGGTAATCTTCCGCGACCAAAAAAGCCTTTGGTCGCCAATAGTATATTTTCCGCGACCAACTTTTTTTTTTTGGTCGCCAAAGGGTATACTTTCTGTGACCAACTTTTTTTTTAGTCGCCAAAAGATGATCTTCCACGACCAAAAAAGCCTTTGATCGCCAATAAGTATACTTTTCACTACCAACTTTTTTTTTAGTCGCCAAAAGGTGATTTTCCGCGACCAAAAAATTGTGGTCGCCAAAGTTAAATTTTGGTCGCAGAAAGTGAACTATTTGCGACCAAAAAAAATAGGTGGTCGCCAAAACTGTTTTTTCTTGTAGTGGTCCTTTTTCTCATTGGATTAGCTCCCAAGGGCACACCCAAATATTTCAATAGTAAACTGTGATGCTGACAGTTCAAGATGGCAGCAAAATCTTTAATGAGTTCTTCATTTATTCCAATTTCATAAATCACACTCTTGTAATAGTTAATCTTCAACCCAGATAATATTTCAAAGCACCTCAATATCCTTTTGATATTAAGCAACTCCTCACTTCTTGCCTCACTTAACAATATTAGGTCATCTGCGAACCATAAGTGGATAATAATAAGATCATTTGAACCAACTGTTGCAACCTTAATCAAACCTAACTGGACAACTCTGTCCGACAGTATATTTAGACTCTCAGCCACAATATTGTAGAGAAAAGGCAATAATGGGTCACCTTATCTGAATCCCTTTTGGGGACTGAACTCAGGTGTAGGTGATCCATTCACCAAGATGGGGACTCTGACTATTGAAACACATTCTTTCATCTAGTTGATCCATTTTGAGCCAAAACTAAAATTAGAAAGTATAGAAAAAACAAACTCCCAATTAAATGAATTAGTCCAAAATCATGTTAGTAAGAACTTGGTGACTTGTTCAAATTATTTAAAGGAAAGTGCACCAAAGAAAATAAGATTTGGCAAATCTCTGCTGCTGATAATCTAATCTAAAACCACAAAGGTCAACCCACCCCCACCCCCCTCTCTTCTCGCCGCTCTCCTCTCTCCTCTCTCCTCTCTCCTCTCTCTAGGTTTTTCTGTTGCAGCTGCTCAATTTAACAACCCCCAACTCCCTCTGGCCCACAACCCAGATTCCAAACTCGTTAGTTCATCTTTCTCCACTATGCTAAAGCTTTTTTTTTTATTTTTTTATTTTCTCCACTATATATATATCACCTCAGAAGAGCCCCTCCAAGACTGGCCAAACAAGCTACTTTCTCTCCTCTACACATCTACTTCTTTCCTTATAGATCATGGAGAACTCTACTACTTCTATGAGCAAACCCATCTCACCTAAATCAAGAACAGTGGATAATTCTGATGATGAGGAGAGTAGTTGGACTTTCTACTTTGAAGACTTCTTGTGTCGCAACAACAATGATGAGAAAAGCTCTTTCTCTTCTGGCCATGAAAACCCTTCTTTGGTTTCTGATGCTGCTTCGGCGGCTGCAGCGAAGAAGTTTTTGGATAAGGATGATCAGGTTATTGGAGCGTTTTCTTGCGATAGAATTAGTGATAAGAATTTGAGTTTCAAGAAGAGGAAAACTAAGGGGGGTTTGGTTAATGATGCTTTGGAGGATACTGCTAGTTCTCCTGTTAATAGTCCCAAGGTCAGATAAAGATGTACATTTTGCATGCAATACATCTATACATACATGTCATAATACGTGTGGGAATTTCGTTAACATAAATGTAAATGGATAGATAGGAGTTTATAAAAGTAAGTCTCACTTAAAAATTATATAAAATCTTATGTAAATGCATTATGTATTTTATTTTGTATTTAATATTTATGTTCGTAACATGATTTTTCATAGATATGCCTCTTTGTTTATGGCAACATTCCAAAAAAGTCAGTTTTTTGACTTTTTAATTTTTTTAGTCAAAAAAATTACAAAAAAGTCAAAAAGTCAATTTTTTACCAATTTCTCATAACATGAAATAAAGAAGAATCAAAATATATCAAAATTAATTTGTGCAGTATGTTATAAAAGTAAATTGTTAATTAATGGTTCACAAAACTAATTACTATTTTATATACTCATGTATTTATTGCTTACCAGTTCCAAGCTTTACGCTTAGTTATTATGTTCGTAATTTATTAATGAAGCAAAGGCTTATTTTATGATTTACTGCACAAATTAATTATAAGGAGCTGGACTCAAATATGAACAAAGAGATCCACCTGCATAAATGTTCTCCTTCAACAAAATACTAAGAAAAAATATCTTGAAAATGAAATACTATTACACTTCATTTTTGGGTACTTTTTGGACTAAGGAACCTCTATCTTCTATCTCAATTCTCTCACGGTCGTTGATCGTGACTCAAGATGATCACACTTTCGTATTCTCCTTTCAAATTTGTGAGTTTCTTTTGTCTCTAGCAGGTTTGTTATTTGAATCAACTGGATATGAATCAAAAATTGAAGCAAAATACGGACATTTCAGAGATTTTTAAAAAAAAAAATCATTATTTTTCTGTTTATTTTCATGGTTTTTATTTATTTTATTTGATTCTCTATATGTATGGTTTATTTCATACCTAACAAAGTGCTTTTGGAATCTGGCATTTATAGGAAAAAGGCAATACATCTGGGCAGACAGATGGGAGAAGTGAATTGGGTATTGTTGGAAGGGATAGCGACTATACAGAATTGAAGAAAAGAGGACTTTGCTTAGTACCTCTTTCTATGTTATCAAACTATCTTGGTTGAAAAACTTCACTCTTCAATAATATACACATACATATAAGCACCTCTCTCTCTCTCTCTCCATGGAGTTATAGCCTGTACAATTGCATCAATAAAGTCATGTTAATGTGATGCTGAATTCAAATATCTAAAAGATATATGAATTTTGTTAATTAAAGAGTGGTACACTTGTTACATGTTATAAAGAATGTATAATGTATTAAGTAATATGAGAAATTAAGCAAAAGGCCATTTTACTATTAAAATAGCATTTCATGAAATCTACCCTAGATTCCGTGTAATCCCAAGAGAAACCAAGATGTAAAAAGTGAATGTGCTGAGATATCTTCTTTTTTCTATTTCCTTTTTTGAGAAAAACAACTCTTTTTGTCAATTTTTGTTCTTTGTCTTGACATGGCATGTTATGTTGGTAAATATTTCTTTAATTGCTTGATACACTAGGAAATGTCTTCTATTTTTCATAAATAAAAGATTGTTAATTACATTTATTCGTCATAATGATTGATGAATATAGGATTTAATTACTTCAGGATATTAATTAATTAAGAATTACATAAATTTGAAACATATAGCAAAACTATCCTATCCTTTTGGTGCCTCTTCCTTCTAAATATTGATTACCAAGGTAGAGTGGACATTCTCTACTATATATCCATAAATAGTACTCAATAATTTTCCTCATAAATTATGGGTTGCACTCCCTCTGACTTGCAATACATATTTTATCCAATTCTTTATACATATTTATATATTTATTTCTCAATAAATTGCAAATGTCACAAGGGCTAATTTTTAATAAGTTGCAAATGTCACAGGGAATAATTTTTAATAAGTAGCAAATGTCAAAAGGGTATTTCCACGTTTAAGTGGAGCTTAGAAGCCAACCCATATTTTTATTTATTTATGATTTAGTGGACTAACTAAATTAACTAGCTTTTCTTCTTCTTTTTTATTTAATTCTTAATAAGATGTAAATTTCACTAGAGGAAAAAAAAGATCCATCCATCAATGGAACTTAACCAAATTCCTAAGACCATCTCCAACCCTGAATTAAATCTGGCATCAAATTTAAAATTTGGTGAAAAAAGTACTTTTTCATGCTCCAACGGTTTTACCAAATTGATATCAAATCGAGATTTCACCAAACGTTTCACCAAAATGAGGACAGGCTCCGCATTTCATCAAAACGCTGTGCATGACCGTTGGGGAGACCAACCGGTCGACCAGCCGGTTGACCAACCGGTCGACCACCAAAAGGTTCAAACAGTTCCAAAAAAAGGTCAAACAGTTGAAAAAAAAAATTTGTCTTACCGGTCGACCAGCCGGTTGACCACTAAAAGGTTCAAAAAGTTCAAAAAAAAAAAAATTGGCTTAACCGGTTATCCCGACACAAATTTGATGAAAATCAACCGTGGAAGCACTCGGTATTAGATTGAGAAAAAAATCATTTTTTTATTCAAAATGGGAGATGCTCTAAGGTTGAAGCAAATAAATAAATAAATTTCTTTCCTATAGCACCTAAATTAAATAATGAAATAGTCAATTGATTTTTTATTTTTAGATAAATAAAAGATTGAAAATTTTGTTTGCCATTTGCATTTTTTGTTAAAAATTAGGGGGAAGAAAAGCTAGTAATGCGCATCCAGTGAATCGAACCCTGGTCAGTACCGTGGGAGGGTACTATGATACCACTACACCAGATGCGCTTGTTGTGTTTTCATCCTAAAAGGATATATTAATATTAAATTTTCTAGCTGAAATTTTACACATTTAAATTGGGCTATAATTCTTTTTGTGAAGTTGTTATGAAACAAACCCATCTGACTTTAAAATCTTATTTGTCCAAACAAATTGAAACAGCCCAATAAAAAAATATGACCATTCATTATAACATGAACATGAGAAATTCAAACTACAGCATAAAATCTCTCCATAAATGGGATATGACTTGAGACATGTCTTTTTTCAAAAAGTAAATTATAAATACATCTCTTGAAATTTAATTAAAATACAAATTATTCCTTATAATTTTAAAAATTACATTTTACTTCCTGAAGTTTCTAATTGCATAACCAATCGCCCCTTTTATTAATAAACCATCAATTCAATTAATAATTTTTAATGATATTAAAAATATGTTTCAATTAATAATTTAAGTTATTTTATTATTGTATAGGAGAGCAATTATGAATTTCATTTTTTTAGCTAATTTTGTCAAATAAAAAATTCTAATTAAGAGGTAGTTGTAATTTTTTAAATCACATGGAGCAATCTATATTTTAAGCAAAACTTAGGGGGAGTATTTGTAATTTATCCTTTTTCAAATCCCAAACATTCACATAATATGAACATAATATTTTATTCTACCAGCATTCAAAATCATAAACCCTGGTTCATGAAATAGCCAGTTGAAAAAAGTTTTCATGAGTCACAACACCAGGAAGATGAAAAAAGTTGCAAATCCATAGAGCCAGCTTACGTAGAATTTAAAGAGCTAGCTTCTCAGTAAAGAAGTACATCCCAATTCCATATGGTAATTGAATAGCTGAAAGCATGACAAACAATAGAAATAGGGCCAGAAATATAATTTTCATTTTGACAAATATGAAAAATCAGGCACAGTGATATCAACATCTCAGGTATCATGATTTCATTTATTATTATTCGGTTGTACCTTCTAGCCAAAAAGAGAATGGATTAATCACTTGGTGTACAAACAACACATCTATTTTTTCTCAGGAAGCTTCTCTAACAACTCCGGGATCACCTCAAACAGATCACCTACAAGTCCATAATCAGCAACCTGCAAATCAAGAGTCCATTGAAAAAGGTAAATCAAATTCAAACAAAATCATTCAACCCATAAAGACGAGCTTGTCCTTTTGAGCAAGTTTTATCACAGAGCATAAGCATTTAGCTGAAGCCAAAATGATTTGCCCTACATTGACTACTTGATAAACATGCTTGTGGGAGCTATCTCAAAACAAGACAATACAATTTGACAACGGTTTCTAATTTCTAATGTTGTTTGAACAGTCAATCGACTCGAGTCATTTAAAGCATTGTGTAAGACTTGGTTTAACTGATTTGGTTGTCCAAGTGCAACTTAAAATCCTTTGCTAAACCAGTTTTATTGCCCAAGTGTCAGGCAAACTTTTTGTGCATGAAAAGCAAACGTTGAATAAAGCATGATATTTAACGTACATGTACGGTACAATGTCTTTCTATTTTACATTTGCCTCCAGACATGCCAAGGCTATTCATGCCTTCTACTTAAAAAATCAAATTCTAGCAAATGATTGGATCATCCAACACTGACAGAAGGTGCAGTATAAGACTTCTATTGTTTCCGTGTAACATTCTTATGTGAGAGATATAGAAAGAGAGTTCAGCAGTTAACCTGAAATATTGGTGCATCTGCATCCTTGTTTACAGCAACAATGACCTTAGAATCTCTCATGCCTGCTAAGTGTTGAATGGCTCCAGAAACACCAAAAGCCATATACAATTCTGGGGCAACAATCTTTCCAGTTTGGCCAACCTGACCACAAAAAAATAAATAAATAAATAAAAGAAGAAGAAGAAAGAGAGAGGACGATATATGAGAGAGACCTGCATAGGAAAATAGAATAACTCTAAATATATATATGTAGACTAATTCTGAGCGACCCATTCATTAGATTAGAATCAGCTAAATGCCATTCAGATGCATTATCTACATTTAGAGATCCAAGTTGTTTAATTTCAATAATGTCGACGGGGGGATTCTACCTTTTCTTGACAAATTAGGACTCCAGCTTACAAGTACAAGCACAAAAACCAGCTAAAAGGCATCCATTTGGTGAACAAAACTTATAGAGCTCTTTCATAACTGTAATATTTACAAAAAAATTCAGATTATGATTTTCTTATAAGATTGCGGCATTTCTTGTTCTCTAGTTTGGATGAATGATGTTTAATAGATTCTTGAAAAGAGGCTAGGAATGAAAAATTCAGGGAAAAAATTATATGAAAAGGATATTGTAGAGTAATACCAAAGTCATATGAGTCATTTAAATTTAGAAAAAAAACCATAATAGTTGTTACTTGGAGGTCAAAAAAAAAAAAAAAAAAAAAAACCATAATAGTTGTTACCTGGAGGTCATTAGGAACAAATCCTGCATCAACAGCCGCACGAGTAGCCCCAACTGTGAAAAAGATAGGAATTAGTCAAAATCATATAATACTATAACTACAATACCAAAAACAAAATGTAATAGTGACACAAAAGAAGGACGGTTAAGAAATTACAACCATGTTAGAGCATCCTGAATGAAAATTATCATGAGTCACGATAGTATTTACAGTTTCAAAAAAAAAAGTTGAAAATATGTCAACAATTGGGGTAACTTTCCTAGAAAACAAAAAATTATCAATGAAAAAAAAAAAGAGAAAATTAAGAAATCTAGGGACATAATATTATAGAGAAAAACCTGCAGCACCAAGTTTCTCAGCAAGCTTCTCTATCATTTTAAAATTCTCAGCACTTTTCAATGCCCGCCCCCCAGTGATCACTACACGTGCATTTCCAAGATCTGGGCGCTCTGAATTCTGAGAACTAAGCTTTATATATCTAGATTTATCAATTGCATCTGCAAATAGAATAAAAAAGTTCAATGTTATGACATGTAGTAGCTTTTTTAATAGGCTATGACTAACCAAATCATTCCAATCAGCACATATCCAAAATATTGTTAATCCTATAGGGACCTAAATATTCAGGAAGGACCATATAATTATATGCAAGAACAACAACCCTACACATTATTTTTTTCCTTTTTTTGTTCAGAAAATCTAATGCAGGGCAAAGTCTAAAGACTAAAACATATATGGATCAGAAAATAATAAACAGACCTTCACCAAAGGTTGAGAGGTCAATCTGTGAAATTGGCGCTGCATCAGATCTTGCATTATCTGATATTGGGACCACTGGAAAAGATGTGGACCTAATTGTCAACATACAAGGGTCGGAACCAGTATATCGAACAGTGCAAAGAGCATTCCCAGCATAAATTGGCCTGCCATATAAAAAGAAAACCTTTCAATTAAAGCAAAGAAAGTCCTCTTAGCTAAGGGAGTGTGACCCCAAGCCTAAGCGGAAGGTACAGGAAATCTCTTACACCGCCCCTTGCTTGGGTCCAAACAAGAGGCTATGAGTTTGATGTGATCCAAGTTGTGTTTCCTTACAATAATAGTAATTCTGTACGTATGGAGTTATCGAATTAATGTCTTCATGGAGGGAATACAAAATTTAAATTTTTTTGCAGCTATTGATTATGATGTGGTTCAAATTATGTGGGAGAGAAACCATCCCTGGCATGCCATGAAAGAGAATATTTCACAATGGTAAGCAACAAAATAAATTACCTGACAAATTTATGCGATCCAGAAATTTCAATGACATCAGTAATTGGAGAAACATCCAGAAGGGCAGCTGCACGTGGTAGTATGTTTTTCCCGAAAGAACCCGACGCAGTAACTATGTGAGAGTAGCTGCCTTTCTGCTGGACCAAATGAACTAATCTAGCCCACGATTCTGCCAAAGGATATGTAAGTTTATCTGAATCAGCCATAAGCACCTAGAAAATAAACATTTAAAAAAATCAGGGTTGCATAATCTATCTTCCAGGCCGAATTTTGTTGCTTTTTCTTGACAGAATAGAATTTAAGATAATATTAAGAGCTTCATAATCTTGTTTTCTAATTTGATTGGGACCAAAATAATTGATGACAACATATCATGGAGAAGTTGAATTCACTTCACTTCACTTCAACAAGAAAAGAAGCTTTTTTTTCCCCAACAATGTTTAGCTCTTGGAGAAGTTAAGAATTTTGTAAGTTAATCTGCCCAAATTTCTGCAAGAAAAGTCCAGTAAGGGAAATAAACCACAAACAAAATTTTGTGTGACTAAAAAATAATAATACAACTACTTGAGCAACTAAGTTCAAATTGTCTAGCCAAAAACAATATATAAACCATTGACCAAATGAAATGAAGCCAAGAGTGAGTAAACACCGTACAATAAATCCGTAGTCCCATTAGAACAATAAACTAATAGAATGGATGTGAACTACCTGAGAAATGTAAGGGTGACATGAGGCAGCATGTTCAGCAGCTTCTCGAAGAGACGGACCTGATCCAGCGAGTAGAATAGAAACAGAATTGTCATCACTTAGAGATTTTGCAGCCTCTACTGCACTCACAGATGGGGCGTTGATAGAACCACCTTCATGTTCGGCTAAAACCAATGTGCCAAGCTATTTAAGAAGCATAACATTACAAATTATAACCATGTGAGAAAATGCATTCAAGTACTGAAAAGCAAAGAAAGAGACAAACACGAATATGTCAAAGCAGATACCAGATTTGAGTCTTTTAATACAAGTGCACAATTACGTCTTTGGGGAGCTTTAAAAAACAATTGTAGCCCTTGAAAGGCACCATAGGTTATGCATTTAGAAAGTACATTAGATAAAAGAACAAAAAATCTACTTATTCACTTTCTAGTTGCTGTCAAGTTCAAAACTAAAGTAAAAAAGGGTAAGTTTCGTACAGTACCCACTGAAAATACCAATTTACTGAATCAAGAAGCATGACTTGATGATAGCAAAGACAATAGCGCCGCTATTAATTTGTGGGTAACTGATAAAATGATAGCAGCAGTGATGTGTGAATGCAGGTGTGTGGTGGTGGCATTAAGAAAGATTGCAATATGCAGGAGAAAACCAAGCAATGGGGATGGCAATAATGGTACAAGAGTTTGTGTGACATTGACAGTAGCAGTCTTAGCACCAGTGCCAATTTGAGTAAGTGGTGGTGTGATTGTGCCAGTGGCAGAGTGAGCAAGAGTGGTGGTAAGTTTTGCAACTGATTGTAGTAGTACAATGAAAACCGAAAATTAATTGTTTCAAAAACTAACAATTATTGCGGCAAATTCAAACCCTTTTCCTTTATTATTTTTTTCTTTTTCTTTTTCTTTTTAGCAAAAAAGGGGATAAAAGCAATTTCATCAGTACCAATATTGGCAGCTAAAATGGTAAACACACTATGCTATCAAAATGTACTCTTGGTAACTTCTTACCATTGCATTTAGCATCTGAATTCAAAACTAAGCAACATAAATTAGTATTTATCGAAAAATAGCAAAAACTAAACTTTGATCCCAAGAAATTGATTTCTCATGATGAATAATTCATCTTGCATCTTCCAAAAACACAAGTATCCTACAATAAAAACAATTTATGCTGTGTTTGGTTGGGCGATTTGGGAACATTGAACGAGCTCAAATACAAAGAATCGAAATACATACAAACCCTATCAAAGAAACGAACATCTATATCACGAAACACAAGTATGTCACAGTATGAGTAAAATCGTGATAATGATTTAGAAGAAGAAGAAGAAGCCAAAGAACTTACAAGTCTGCAATTTGAAGCTACACGGGAAGTGATTGAACGGTCTCTGAAAGCTCTGAGCATTGCGTGAGTTGCGATTTCTCAACTCTTCGCTGGGATTGGAGATGATGATAGAGCTCAGTTTCGTAAATACATTGCTGAGTAATGAGAGACACCCAAATATTCTCTCACGGCTGTGGGACCCACACAAATGTGGGTTGTATATGGGTCCCACACTCATATCAGATATTTAGGTCAAGTTTGGAAAGACTAAATAAATATATTTTTTGACTTTTTATAAAATATGGATTGGATTTGGGTTGAGTTTGAAGTGATGTGTTAGAGAGGTGATGTGACTTAAATAAGATGATGTGATTTAAATAGGATAGTGACTTTTAACTTTTTAAATTTTTTAAGAATTGTCAAATTTGGCCTTAATAAAATTTTTAGTAAAACTTTTGAGGCCTCTATCATTTTTGTACATTTGTTTACTTTGGTATAATGATGTCGTGTCGCTAAGGGGTGGCATACCATCCGTCATTTGTTGAAAATTAAGACCTCCTTACACAATTAGTCAAAAAATAAAAAATAAAATAAAATAAAATCATAGTCAGTTATCATATTATTTTTTTTATTTTTTATATACTTTTTTATAAAAAATTAAAAATTATTAAAACAGTATGTTCTGCAATGAGATTTAAATAAGATGAATTGAAAAAAAATAAACCAATATTCGCCTGTATAGCTAGCGAATATAGATTATCGTTTGAATTGATGGTTGAATACGTATTGATCTTATGATTTAGGTTTTATTATTTTATGTTTTCTTTTTAAATTATTTTAGAGTAATTTTTTAATATTTTGAATTTTGTTTGAGTTTAAAATTTTTAATATTTTTATAATTAAAATAAAAGTCAAACTTTTTATATTTCATAAATACGTAAATGTTATTACTAAATAAAATATCTTTTCTTAATATATAAAAAGATAAATTACACTCACCTCTCCTGAGATTTCTGATAAATACAGGGACCTCTCCTGTAGTTTGAATAATTACACAAACCTCTTATGCTTTACTTGACATTGTTAAAATTTCCTCATTCCATAAAATTGGCACAAACAACGTTACTTACATATACTAAAGGACCTTATTACCCTTGCTTTAGAGCACGAAAATACGATAATAACATTTGTACCTTAAATCCCTAATTAACTATCTATTATGATTTCGATCGAATTTGTGGAAGAAAAGAGAGAGAGAGAGAGAGAGAGAGACGAAATCTTTGAACAAGACCGATCGGTGTGAACAAACGACGAAGAAATTTGAGATTTTGATAAGATTTTGGTTTGATCATCGTTGCTAGTGCAAAATGTCAAAGAGATTGATCGGTGAGAAGTTGGTTTTAGGGGTTCCAGGTAAGATTTCAAACCTTTTATACTTCGTCCCTGTTTGTTTTCTGGAGTAACAGTCCAGTTTTTTCATGCTTCATCCCTGTTTATTTTCTGAAGTAGCAGTAGCTCATGTGTTGTTTTGATTTTGGAACTCTAGATTTGTAATCTCTTTCAGATTTGTAGTCCCTTTCGGATTTGTATGCCTTTACGAACGGATGAGCAGTCTAGCTGGGAAATGTAGGGAACCAGTTGTCCGTAGGGATGTCTTGTCGGACGTCCAGCTGGACATCCGGCCAGTCAACCAGCCGAACCTTCTTCTTTTTTTTTTACATGTTCGGAATTTTATTTTATTTTATTTTGTCTTATTTTTGTTACAATTTTTGATTTTATGCAATTATGATTGTATTATATGAACTTTTATTTATGTTTGTTATGAAAGTGGGGATTTGGTTTTGTTAATTTACTATAAAAAATAATTTTCTTCTTAATTTTCTTAGAATAATGATTTAAGGATTGTTTTTATTCTTTCTTTTATACAATTATGATTATATAAGCCTTTATTATGTTTTTTTTAATGTCTTATGCTTAGGAATTTTGTTACATTTGGATGAGTAATTGTTGAATGGAATTGTTTTTTATAATTAATTGTTACTCATTGTGACTACAATATGGCTGCATTCCCTTATTTTGATCTAATCATCAACTATAAAGGTAAAGTGGGCAGAGTATATGATGTGGACCCAAAGTATATGATGTGGACCCAAATTTGTATTGCTACATAGATGCCTTGATCAAGCTATGCAATGAGAGGGTGTATGATCAAGCTATGCAATCCATTAAGGAAATTTGATCCCTGACTTTTCAATTGTGATACATTTGACTTTGAATTTTGAATCTTGTTTCAAATACGGACAACTGAAAATACCATTACTCAATTTCAAGGGCAAAATCACCAATTTGATAAAATATAAACTAATTTGACAAAAATAAATGTCAAAAAATATTTTTGAATTTTTAAAAATTATTTCTATGCACCAAAGATAAAATTATGTAAAATTGATAAATCTTTTACACATTTATTATTTTTTTTACCAAATTAATTTTTATTATATATTTAAATAATGATCATGTAATGGATGGTTGTTTTTATTTTCATTAAATTAGTTTTTATTTTTTCAAAACTCAAACATGGCGACAACTTTGATATCATTATTAAACCAATCCATTAAATCAAAAAATTCAAAACTAAAAATATTTTATATATTAAATATATTTATTACACATTAAAAGCCAAACAACTACACATTACATGATTATCGTCCAAACACATAATAAAAATTAATTGGGTAAAATAAATAAATGCATAAAAATTTTATCGATTTTATATAATTTTATCTTTGGTGGGTAAAAATAATTTTTAAAAATTCAAAAATATTTTTTTGACATTTATTTTTGTCAAATTAATTTATATTTTATCAAATTGACGACTTTGCCATTGAAATTAAGCAATGGTATTTTCAATTGCCCTTATTCTGAATAAGATTCAAAATTCAGGGTTAAATGTATCACTATTGAAAAGTCAGAGACCAAAGTGATATGATCCCCAAACTATAGAGACTATTAGTGTAATTCGCCCAAAATTATATAGATGCTTTCAAAATCCATTAGTATTTTAAAATTTATTTCTTTTACTATAATATCCTTATATATATATATATATATCAAATTGTAATCACTTTCTCTCATCTAAATCTATTTTCTCTATGTCTTGCTCTTATCACTGTTGCTCTTAATCGGCGCCATCACAGCTCTCCACCAGATGCCACTGTCGTTTACCATGGAACTCTTTCTCTATCGTCTTCATTACCACCGTCACTTGTCACATCTACAATTTCATATTTGAGATCATTCACAGTCGTCGTCGCCGGAAAATAACGATTTACGATGATTTGCAAACCTCAAATATGAGATCCTTCACACATGCTCTTGCTCTCTCTCTCTCTAGTTATGATGGTTCGTGCTCTGTGTGTGTGTGTGTGTGTGTGTCATTCACCATTTATGCTCTCTCTCTTTTTTTTCTTTTTTTTGATCCTATATTTTCAAACTCTATCTCTCTATTTCTCTTTCTTCTTCTCATGATGTTCTGTTATTTCAACACTAAAATTTTACTCTGGTTCATGACATAACACTCTCCTATAAAGTCATCCTCGCAGCTTGTTTTAGAGTAAAATTTTACTCTATAATAAATTTAAAAAAAAAAGTAAAATTTTATTGTCGTTAAGCAAATCAGCATGTTGTTAATTAGAGTAAAATTTTACAGTTACAAAAACAGAGTACATATTAAATGAACGAACCAAAGTCAATTTTTACTTTTAGATCTATGAACAAACAAACAAAAGACTCTTGATTTTTCATCGTAATATCTCGATTTCTCGTTTTTCTGTCAAAACTATGTTTTTATTTTTATTTTTTTATTTTTTTAAAATCTCAAATCTAAAGTTATTAATCTAAAATATGAGTTTGTAGATATCAAATATGAGATGGTGGTGATTTGACAGTAAAAATGGTGGTTGTTGGCCGACGATGAGGATGAGTGACGCCAATAGACGATAAAAATGATGGAGACGATAAACAACATCGAGTTGGTGAAAAGAGAGAGAAAGAGACAGTGTTGTAAAAGAAAGAGAAAAAAATAATAAATTTTGTCTTTCATACAAGACTTTATAATTATGAGGGGATTTTAAAAAATATATTTTTTTCTATTATCCTTTTAACAAGAAAATGAAGTTAGGAGAACTTTATGGCCAAATTTTCAAAAAATATTTTTCTTCGCCTGCGTGCCATTTAAGATTAGTGGGCTACGAAAAAGCAATGGTATTTTCAATTGCCCTTATTCTGAATAAGATTCAAATTGAATCTTATTCCACAAATGGCCCTTGATAATTCCATTTCTAGTCCTGCACTAAAATCGTGTTGTAATTATTTTATATAAAAAATAAATTAAATTAAATTATACATGTATATATTTTACAGTAATTTAAAAAAAAATAAAAATGAAATAGAGAAATAATAAAGAATTTTTTTGAAGAAGATAATTGAAAAAAAATAGCCATTTAAAATAGGGAATTAATTTAAACTAATTTGCATATTAAAAAAAAAAAACCACAACTAAAGACCCCTTGTGGTGTATTGCTGTGAACTCGAATTCTATGATATAAAGTTTTGTTTTTTATTGAAAACGAAGAGAAGTTTGATATCCTTCGTGACGCAGCGGAATACACGAGAATTAGATATCGTTCTAGTAGATAAAAGGGGCTCTTGAATCTACAAGAAAAATAGAATCTTGAATTCACAAGGAAGAGAAAATATCTTAATATTATTGAATAAAAGTTAAATAAAAATTGTTTTTGCCATGAGACTTTTATTCAATTTACATAGTTATTTTTAATAATGTAAACCTTGAAGACCTAAGAAAACTAAGAAAACTTAGCTATTTATAATAATGTAAACCTTACATAGCTATCTTAATATTATTGGACACTAAGAAAACTCAAATTAGGAAACAATAAACTAATCTAATTCTTAGAAAACAAGAAACCTAAGAAATTAGAAAAATAAAATCAAAACAAATTAAGAAACCTAATCACTTTGCTTGGTTTCCATTTTTTAAAAACAGTTTTCAGAAAATTCTGCACTCTTATTTTCCGTGTTTTTTTGTTTTTACTGAATTTTTTTAATATTTTATGCAATTTTTTTACTTTTTAGACACACCTAACATAAATACACCTAA